CGTACGACATGAACAACTTATGAGCAGTTTGAAAGCATTTCAGTTCAGAAACTAGTTTAGAGTCTTTGGAATGCCACATGCAGCCAAATTCTGGAGCTCTATGATATTAACCTTAAAGAGATATCTGGCAATCAGTAGGAAAAATTGAGACAACGTGAATATATGGATGTTGGTTGATCCGAAAAACAAGAGGCTAAATCTCCTAATTTGCAATTCAAATCTCAACTTAGCACTTGTAACAAAAATCATCAGTTAAGTTGGCACAATATGATGCTATAACACTCGTACAATCTGAGTCAAAGCATTTCACCTACAATAAAAGATAAGTAAAAATGGACGACATTGAATATCCTATATAGTATACACAAGAATGTGAACTAGCATATTGTAAAGGGACAATTTATGCGTATCCCCAAAAGAATACAGCCTTTATGCATAAGCAAAGATCAAACAAACTAATAAACATATCTACACATGATGAGGAATATGACTAATAAGAGGGAAAAACACAGTTGCATAAACCAGAAAGAACATAAAACAAAGATGGACAATTACTCACATCGCTTAAAGGAGGTGCCGGAACTTGCTTGGATGATTCAAAAGAGTCCAGAATAGGCCTTACAACCGCAGGAAGGAAGAGGCCTGAAATTGCAAGCAATATAAGACAAACTGATTTTCAATCGAAGAGAAAGGCAGATAGGAATAGAAGGTCATTACGTGTCCTCTCAAAAAACAGTATACAAAATGTACTACTTCAGTAGGTAATTGAATGGTCATCATTATACGATGCACAGACTCCAACTTCTTGAGTTGGTAATAAGAATCACCAAGTCATTAACCAAGGTAATCTTCTCCTGAGCTACTAACACACATTTCTTTTGCAAGAGGGTTTCTCAGTAAGGCTGAGCTAATTGGCTTGTGCCATACAGGAAACTAATCTACTAAGGGTTCCTGAGAAGCAATAACAGACAACACCCATGTGTATGACTAACAGGCAGTAAAGGCCTCTCTGGAAGCACATAAGGGACAAAACACAGAGTTGTCAGTGAATCTTACTTGCATGATCGATCAATGGCTAGACAGTTGCAGAGACAGGCTTCTCCAAATTCCTGTTACTAAATTACTGGTTTCAAAAACCAGTGGGATAGATGAATATGTCCATTAGTAGATTATAGTTTTAAATCAGATATCTCACTTATTGAAATCCCTCTATTAGATCAAAATAAAAATCTGAAAAAGATCAGCTTTTAAAATCTTAAACTAAATATAATTTGATGAATGCAGATAGACATGTGAAGAAGCTGAGGTTGATAACCACTGCTCTACCATCATTCCATTTTAGTAAAGGACATCCAGATCTATTATTCCTATACTGTGGATTTCTCTGCTTGATATGCAGATGAGAACATACTTAATGCAAAAAGAAAGAAAATGTACACTCTTCTTTAGGTTTCACTTTGTCACCTCTGTCAAAATGCAGCAGGAAAATAACACTAAGAGTCTAAGATGCATACTAGGTTTTATTGCATATGCCTCAGATATAGCTTTTGCATTCAGGAATTAGGCTGGTCTAAGCATGAAAAGCAATAAGAGGAACCCACCCTCTACAGTCAGCTCACAGATTCTGGGCTCCCATCCTTTACTCACTCCTATGGAAAAGTCATAAAGACGTCCATACATAAATAGAGACATCTTTTTTTGGGAAGTGATATCGATGGCATCAATAAGATGAAGATATAGGAAAGATAACAAGTACAAAAGAGAGCTTGCATGCTCTATTACAGTGAGACATACAAATATATATGTCATATGCGCGCTCACGTGTGTAAAATGCAAGAATAAGGAGTCATCTGGTAGCAGATTCCTGTTTGGGCAACAGATCAACTTGATGCAGGTTATCCTTTTGTAGAAATCATACTTGTGACAATATGTGGAGGTTATTCTTCTCAATTATCTACTTATTTTGCTGTATATTCCCCACTATCAGAATAAGAGTTAGGCCAAAACCTTTTATATTCTTTCAATTAGATAAAGAGGCAAATCAGCTGCCACTACAAATTCTAATTGACCCACTGGCCACTGCTAACCAAAAACCTACAGCTCAACAGATGAATAAGCAGATTCACTCACAAAAGACGAACTTGATACTTAGAGTTCACAATGAGGAAAACTTGTAGGCTGACACTCATCAAATCTGTAATGGATGCCCTCCCTATTTATATGATGAGCTTGTTCCCAATTCCCAAGAGTATAGAGAAGAAGATTAACAGGTTAAGGAGATCCTTCTTGTGACAAGGCAGTAAGGAAAAAAGAGGGTACAATCTGGTTAAATGGGATACCCTCACACTCAACAAGAATCAGGGGGGGGTTAGGGATCAAAAACCTTAATATCCAGAATGAGTCATTAATGCAGAAGTGGCTCTGGAGATTCTGCACAGATGACAGGGCTCTTTGGAGAAGATTTATCGCTGAGAAATATGGTTTACTAAACCAATGGTCTACTGAAGAGGTTTTGGGTACTTTTGGTTGTTGTGTTTGGAAGTCCATCAGAAGGTTGTGGCCACAATTCTATAGGTGATGGAGTAAGAATAGATTTTTGGAATGAACTCTGGATAGGGGAAAACAATTTGAGAACTTTGTTTCCCAGTGTTCAGGAAAGCGAGCGCTTCATCACTTAAAGCGATGAAGCGAACCGATGCGAGCCTTCTACGCTTCACAGACTAGAATGAGTATGTGAGTGCTTCATCGCTTTAAGCGAGCGCTTCATCACTTAAAGCGTGAATCGGGGCCTTATCGCTTTTTTCCGCTTCACGCTTCCCTGAACACTGTTGTTTCCTCAGCTATATGTCTTAAGTTCACAAAAAGATGCTTCAGTGTCACAGGTTTGGAGTCCCCAAGGATGGAATTTGGGAAGTTACAGAGATTGCAAGATTCCTTCAATTGTTGAGTACGTTTCCTAGGATACTTAATGGAGCTGACAAACCTATTTGGTTGCTTCACAACAAAGGGGTTTTTACAGTTAAATCTTGCTATTGGAAGAAGAATAACAATCAATCCACAACGGGCTTCTGGCCTTGGAAGCAAATCTGGAAGGTCACAAGTCCCCTGAAAGTCTCTTGTTTCGTATGGTTGACAATTAGGAGAGCATGTCTAACTCATGAAGTCCTACAAGGAAAAAGAATGCACATCTGTTCAAGATGTTTTATGTGTGATCAAGACGCAGAGAGCAACTTTCATCTGTTCCTTCATTGTAAAACAGCCACAAAGTTGTGGTGCATGTTCCTCAGTATTCTTGGGGTCAGTTGGGTGATGCCAAAGTTCACTATGGAGCTGCTTAACAGTTGGATCGGTAGTAGAGGGTCAAAGGAAAACTGGTGGATGACCATTCCAGCATGAATCTGGTGGACACTATGGAAGGAACGGAATACCAGATGTTTTGAAGGCAAGAGTAGCAACATTCAGAAGATAAAGAGTCAGAGTCTTAGTTTGTTGTATTTTTTATGTAAACAAGAGTTGGGGGATATAGTAGCACTAGTCGACTTCATAGGTAACTTGCAAAGTTCTACTTTTGCAGTCCTTTAAGAGGATTTCCCATACTTTTGGTGGGTGTAAGATTCTTCCTCATCATTTCTTGGATGATGAGTTTTTTGTGAATATAGAGTTACCCTGTCTCAAAAAAAATCACAAGAAACTGTGTACTCAACGAGCACATTATCCCATTAATCACAATGTTATAAATCTCCGAAAACCTCTATATACCTCCAAAAGAGATCCTCTACATACTGAGACCAATCACTACATTAAAGGTCCACTATATATGTTATGAAGAGCTAATTGTAACCTCAATTATATAAAATAAAATAAAATAAAAATATTGCCCATGAAAAATTACAATACCCCAATTGAGGATTGCTGAATCAGTGATCACATAAATTTATAGGGAGTTAGCAATCAAGCATTAGTACATTCAGAGAAGCTGGTATCGAAATAATCATTATATGGACCAAAAAAATATAAGTCCTAGCTGCCGATTTGCAGGGTTTTGTTAGAAAAATATGAACTTTGAAAACATCAGATTTCATAGATTCAACCACAATAGGTCCATCGACGCCGATTCCCACCCATATACAGTTCAAAAATTCTGAATTTATGTGTAAAATTCAATTGTCACAAATGAAAAAACAACAACTTATTTTTAATAAAATCGTAGATTTGGTGATAGCGTAAAGATAGAGAGAGAATCACCGAATCCAGCGATGAGACAAGAGGCAGCTACGACTGGTTCCTGAACCACGAACATTCTCAACTTCCCCATTACAGCCATTTCTTTTCTTCTTCTTCTTCCCGTAAATTTCCTATCACCCAGAAAAGTCTGAAGATGTTGGCTGCTGTGCTGTGTAAGCTACGAATTTAGCGGGTCGGTTATTTTGAAGAGACCCGGCCCATAACGTTGATCCCAGGCCCATGTATTTGTACTTGGTTATAGAATACAAAGAATAAGAGGATTTTTTTTTTAATAAATAACTATAGTTTGGACCATAATTAATTAGTAGTTTGTCTAATTACAATTCATAGCAATAATTTTAGAAAATCGAGAGGCAAGCGAGATAGGGGAGAAAGGTGAATAGGTAGATAATTGAAATTGAGATTGACTTGCAGCTGATATTGGTAGCTTGCCTCTTCCTCTCTCCCAATCTCGCACACAAATACGCATACCCCGATGTAAAAATAAGAATCCCTTAATACTATTTTTACTTGAGTAATTATACCCTAGGTTTGTTTTTTGGCACAAAAATATGTTAGTCAAGTGGAGCAGATATGTCCACTAAAGTACTCCACATTAGATGTAAATTAGCATAAAATAACACTTCGTTTGCATAGTTGGAAATCCAGGTTGAAAAAGAAAATCTTAATAACAATATATCAGAATTTGTGTACTAATCAAACCATTAATCTCATTCACAATATAACACAATTAAACTTTTTAAAAATAATAGTAATAATCAACAACTCTAAGAAATCCATTAATCATGACAATACAAAAGAGTCTATAGAAACCATAATTTTGGTGAGGAAAAAACACGATTCTGCCTAAAATATATACATGCTTGCTTGTCTTCAAGTACAAACTGAGGGAAAGCTCAGTATTTAATTTCAATTCAAGTACTAAAAGCTGAGACCAAAGTAAATGGAGAAATGATCATCATACAACTAACATACATAGACAACCACCCAGTCAACTCCCCTGTAAAACCAATCTTTACAAAACTACTATTAACAGGAAAATTGGATACAATCTACACAGCTCAGAACGTCGGTACCATCCACCCGACTGTCCACCCAAGAAGCAAACCTGCACCAACAAGACCCAAACCTAATGCAAAAACAACTGCATATCTGCTCAAGTCATACTTGGGACAGCCACATTTGGCTCGTTTCATCCTAGCAGACTTCTTCTGCGGTCTCTTAGTTTTCTGGGGCACCCTTGGTAACATGGCCGATATTGGCTGTTTTTTGTTGTTTTTAATCTGGAAGTAGAAGTTCTCTAGTTGCAGTAGCTGGAACCATTGCTTGTAGGCAAAAAGTTGTGATGCTTGTCTAAAGACCAGCTGAACAACGTGCTCCTTCTCCGCAAAGGCTTGCTTTGCCGCATTCTCAGCTTCCCTAGCACGCGTTTGAGAATGACGAAGTGCTTTTAGTAGTTGGGCCTTGCTTTCATCATCTCCAGATGTGTTCATTTCAGGCACAACCTTTTGGCTAGGGGTGTCACTGTTCTTCAAACTATGTACAAGTAAAAAGTTCTTAAGCACCTCAAACATGCTCTATAGAGTATAGACACACTAAAGAAATACTACTCGAAATCAATCTAGAAACGTTAAAACGCGAAAAGTGGCTATCAGAGTATATGCCATTCACTTGGAGGAGTAGATGACATTGTTATCTCATAAAAGATCACTTGTTCCGATGACATAAAACTGCTAACATGTTGCATGCACCAGATTGCAGCTAATTGACAACATAACAAATCAATATTACTATCATGGAACGAATGAACATCTGAAAAGCTGCAAAATCTGGAGAGAAGTGTCAAGTTACCAAAAGAGCAATGCAAGAGAATTAACAGTTCTCATGTTCATTGCATTTGATGTATGAGACAGTTATCAATGACAGCATAAGAAAATAACACACTTACATAAATAAAAATATATCATTGTTTTCTTGAGTTATCGAACCTGAAAGTGAAAACACATGCTACTAGGTTTTGCAATTGAGTTCATAGATTAAGACCCAGTTCCTCTAAATGACTGCACTTTGACCCAAACCGGCCAAGCAAGATAAAACAACTATGAAATCATGTTAGTGTTGGGGAATTTTAATATTACAAAAATGTTGCATAGCATTGCCATAGTGACCGTTGCCTCAGAGTCGTTACTTCCTCTATTCATTATTGCATTAGAATATGCATTGGTTGACTTTCTTTTGCTGTTATATGTTTGGGAGTTATGGCAATTACTTTGTTGCTGTTGGAGTGGCTAACTGCTGCATTACTCCATTAGGAGTTATTGCCATATGCACTTCAGTTTTGCAACAGATGCAAAATGCCGTTGATGGCATTAGTGTCTATTTGATTGTCACTCATAATTCCTCCATTATACCTTGTAACATATGTAACTCCTAAGGCTATTATCTTCACTATTTACTACACAATTTATCTTCCTATTCATTGCTAGGAAGACTTCTTCTAGTATAAATAGTGGTGGTTTTCATTTGGTTTGTCACACACAACATACAAGAGAAAATATAGAGTGCATAAGGTTTGTCAAAAAGAGAGTTCTTATTAGTTGAAGGGAGGTGTTCTTTTTTGTGGAGCTTTGGACTCAACTCTTATCCAGAGTTGTTGAGTTATACTTTGTGAAGGCTGTTGTATCCTGGAGGGGACAAGTCAAGAGGACTACTGCTGGACCAGTGAAGAACATTTGCTGCAGTGGACTTGAATCTCCTTAAAGAGAGCGAGATATCCGCGCCTCAGCCTGAAGAGATTTATTTCTTCATTTTTATTTTCAATTGTAATCTTGTATTTTTTTCACTATAGGTGCGATCCATTTCATATAAGTTGTGCAATTCAACATGGAAAAAGGGCAGTTTTGTCAACCAAGTGCAAAGAAAACCCTGCATGGAAGTCTAACCTATCAAGATAAGCATATGTACACTAACATCAAATTACATTCTAAGCCGAGAAGAATGCTAGAGACGCAGATATGGACCACAAAGTTCAATCACTCAGCCTCATATATATAGATGCTAGTAATTGTATGTATGTGCAGTAGAGCTTTTTTCCATATTGGTAGAATAATTGTGAGTATAAGAATGATATATAGTACATTAAGCAGTGACGGAAGCTAGTCCTACACAATACCTTGATGACTTGCAAGTGTGAAGCTGCAACTTCCCTTCAGCATCTAACTGTGACGGGCGTTCAAAAGAAAGATTGCCACGTTTATAAATATTCGTATTCTGCTGGTGCATACTTCCAGCTTTCGGACCCGTAGAAGAAGCATAAATCTTACTGTCAACATCCACGTCGCGGTCTTGTTTAACAAAATTGTTCTGAGGCTGGGGAAGATCACAATTCTCCATAAAATCATGTGATCTCTGTGCAACCAATAAAGCAAGTTCCTCTGTGTCTGCAGTTCGCCACCATGGTTCTGTTTTCTCAACACCAATCCAGGGATATTCTGTATCAAATGGAAGCTCATCTATCTGCTTTCCGACTGTGAGATCAACCAGACCTTTCTTACTTGCTTTATTGGGATACCCTGTGTCCTCGAGGTTAGGACTATCCTTGGAAATCTCAGTAAACACATCTGTCAGTTCTTTGCTTCCAACTCCCAAGTCATTGTTTACATAGCTTGCAGATCTTGTAACCTGAGAATCTAGAGATCCACCTACAGTAAATTTATCCACACAAATACTATCTGCTTCATTCTGATCACACAACTTGTTATATTTAGGGATTGAATCTAAAACTGGTCCAATATTCTCCATCTCTGCTTCAATAGAGTCTACCAGTTCACTCACTAAGCCTTTTTGATACCCATAATTAGGTTGAAGATGCAACCACCATCTTGAATTAGGGGATAAATCACAATATGAAGAGTTCCTGTCAAAAGGCAGGAAGTATGTGCCAGAAGGATTTTGTGCATCAGCACCATTTGCAGGTCCAGCATCAACCTGCTTTGATGAGGGTGATGCTGATGAGCAGCATGCCAACTTTGGAGCTCGTTTGGCATCTTCCTGGACCAAACATCGATTAACTGCTCTTTGCCAAGCGGTTCTTGCTTCTGCCACAGCCATTACTAGCTCATTCTTCTGCACATTTTGCTGTCACAGAAAAATCCACCAGACACTGAGTTCATCAAGATTCATGCATCACTCTTGAGGACAAACATAGAAATATGAACAGTATTCGACAAATAGATGAAACCTGATTTGCAGGAACAAAACTCAGCATAGAAACTAGTCCATTAAAGAGGGGGGCGGGGGGATGAAAATGCATGATGACAAGCAATGGTGGGGTTGAGATTTTCTATAAGGGGATTCAACATATAAAGAAGTACCGAAGACTAAGGGGTGTCAATGACTCCCCTTGGACAAAGGCAAGAACCTTTCTATCACATCTGACCATCTCCTCTTGCAATGATCCAATCCCAATTCATCTTTTACCCCCACAAACTAAATCTTTTGGTTAAAAAGTACTCCTATGCCACTTAAACTAAAAATACGCAAAGAAGAAAGTAACATGTGAAGCTCTGACGAGAGGGAGTTGCTCGGATGGTAAGCACCCCTCACTTCCAACCCGAAGGTTGCAAGTTCGAGTCACCAAGGGAGCAAATAGGGGTGAGAGCTCCTAGGGAGGGTAAAAAAACATGTGAAGCTCTCATTTCAGATTTAAAAAAGTGCTTTGTATCTCAAGCTCTCCAGATGAAACCTGATTTGCAGGAACAAAACTCAGCATAGAAACTAGTCCATTAAAGAGGGGGGCGGGGGGATGAAAATGCATGATGACAAGCAATGGTGGGGTTGAGATTTTCTATAAGGGGATTCAACATATAAAGAAGTACCGAAGACTAAGGGGTGTCAATGACTCCCCTTGGACAAAGGCAAGAACCTTTCTATCACATCTGACCATCTCCTCTTGCAATGATCCAATCCCAATTCATCTTTTACCCCCACAAACTAAATCTTTTGGTTAAAAAGTACTCCTATGCCACTTAAACTAAAAATACGCAAAGAAGAAAGTAACATGTGAAGCTCTGACGAGAGGGAGTTGCTCGGATGGTAAGCACCCCTCACTTCCAACCCGAAGGTTGCAAGTTCGAGTCACCAAGGGAGCAAATAGGGGTGAGAGCTCCTAGGGAGGGTAAAAAAACATGTGAAGCTCTCATTTCAGATTTAAAAAAGTGCTTTGTATCTCAAGCTCTCCAGATGATAATATGTACAAAATGAGAATAAATTCAATCAACAAACTCAGGTGAATGAAGAATCTACTGCCTGTTATATTCCTATCTTTTCTACAGAACATATTCTGGAACAGAGAAATAACAATGAAAATAGTTGCCGAAAGACAGCCAAAAAGATACAATGGTAAATTTGTGCATGCATTAAGTAGGTAATCTCACCACTACAACAGTCTAAATCTGCCACCAAATATTATAAAATCCAGTGGTTTTTGAAGAGAGCCAAGCCCCCCTCACACACCAAAAAATCCTCAAAACAGAACCAAAAGAACCCGACTACAAGGCCTAAAGTACCATTCAAGATGTTTGAAAACAGATCCCAAATTTACCCCAAACTCCAGTTCTGAATATTCGGGAAGAATCTTTTTTTTTTTCGTCCTTCAAAAAAAAAATAATCCAACCACAACTTACTTATTAAAAGTCCTACTCCAGGGAATCTCCCCTGGAAATAGTTTACCAGTCTTAGCATAGTAAACACACCAAAAAAGAGAATTTTACACCATCACATGCACAGTCAACACCACCAAGTTAGCAAAGATTAAATCCAAAATTTGCCCCCATTAAAATAACTCACACTAGTAGATATCAGAGAAAACTACAGATTTCTCTCTATCACAATTCATTCACAAAGAACTAAACTAAGCTTGCATAATCAAGAACCACAAAGATCAAATTTTTATAAGCAATCTTGATTCCCCAAACCCATATAAATCCTTACACACTCATCATCATCATCAGCAGCAGCATATACTGATAAAGCTGAGATTTTTACTCCACCCCAAACCTCCACTCCTTACAAACATGGAAGATAGCAAAAAAAGAAGTAAAAAAAGTCAAGAAAATAATTTAATAATACCAAGAAAATCACCAAAAACTTGAAAACTCAAACATGTTCATTAAAATAAACAATTACCTATGAACATCAACAGAAAAGTCAAGAGAAAAAATTAACCTCAAAACAGTGGACATAAGGGGAAAATTAAATGGATATACAAGAGGGGTTTGTAATCTGGACGAAATGTTTTTCCTTTTTTGTTCAAAGGACACAATTTTCAGAAACAAGTGACCCACCACCCCTCAGCGCCAGCAGTTTCAGCATCCCTTTTTTTTTTCACAGTCAACTTGTATCATCCCACCATTTGTCTGTCGGTTTTTGTTTACAGTTTGCACATTAAACGGTGTCGTTCTATGAGCTTTTTGTCCTAAACGACGTCATTAGAATTTTTTGTATAAATCACACTACACTATTTCTAGCTTATGTACACAATTTGTTTTGTTTGTTATGTGTAGCTTTAAGATAAAGAGTTGTGGTTAAACATAACTACAAGTCATGGTTTGCTCTCGTTTTATCACCAATTATATTTTAAGAAGTTACATTTGAAGCAAAGAGAAAACCCATATTTGTGTATAAAGGCAAGTAAAGTATGATATTAATGATTATATAACGGGTTGTTTTTGGGTCTACATCTAGTAAAATTATACTTTACCTAATAATGTGTATTAGTACTATCTTGATTTTAACATAGTTTGATTTGATACAACCACACAAATTGAAAATATATATTTTATACAATATGTGTGATGATAAAGCTTTTAAATATCTATTACAAGTGATGAAATGCAAAGTATTGTCAAAAATAATTTTTTTGAAATGAACTAATAAAGAGATAGTGTTATATTAGTGGAAGGAAAGAATATATTATAATTTTATAATTAGGAAAAAAAGCAATAGTATTAATTATAGAAAGATGTTGCTGACTGGATGAATAGATAAGTAGAAGATTATGATAGGGAATGGTGGGTCCAAGCAGTGATGACTAAAGGGACCAGGTTGTCTAATAATTGGGATCTACTAAATTTTTTTCCTTTTTAGTACTATCACTATATATATATTTGGCTTTAATTTGCAGGGCATTGGTGGAATTATTTTTTGCTTAGAGATATTTTTAGGATTATGATAATTTACCTACACATATACATATAAAATATTATTGAAAATGACTCTACAAAGGGATCTCATGTTACAAGCAATCTGTTATTTTCAAATGTGGGGTTTTCTTTTCAAAGAAAGAGAATTGTAGAAGAATGATCTCTTCATGACCAAAGGAGCAATTTTTTCTTCTTTACTTCTTTCCTCTTTGATCATCGATTGGTATCCAGAAATATGATGTGGTACGATTAATTTAAATTTATATTATCTAAAAATTATTAACAAAGAAAAAGAATTTAAATTTTTTCTTTGTTAGAATTAAATTTAAAATCTCTAATTAAAAAATTTAATCATGATTTAAATCAGGTTGATCTGAAATAGAAATTTTATTAAACATATATTTTGAATCTCAATAAGTTATACACTTGTACTTTTTCCTGTAAAAGACTTTCTCAATTCTTATAATTTTACCTTTAAACAAAATCATAGTTCTTAAACAATGTCTTAAAAAAGAATCTCAGGTTGCCGTGTTAACAAAATATATAGTTTTATATTTTTATTTATTTATAAATAAATACACAAATTAAATGATATATACCGCAAAGTTAATACACATAATTTTACCAAGTTCTACCAATCTAATAAAACAATAATAATTGTAACTAGTACTTACTTAATATAATCCTCTCCCATGGTATCAATAATATGTTCATGTTGAGGATAATTTATTTATTTTTGTAAAATTAAAATTTTAAAAATATTATAACCCAAAATTTAAAATCCTACTTTTTAGTGAACTTAAAATTTCAAATTATCACATACTGTTAAACTTTTATTTCATATTTCATAAACAAACACTTTCAAATAAGAACCTCAAGTTTGACCTTTAAATTTTATAATCAAACACCTACTAGAAATGATTTATTCCATCACACTCCCTAGCGTCCAGACGAAAGGTTTAATAAGTAATATAATTTACTTTTCTCCACACAAAAATAATGTAAGATTGAATAAAAAGGAGAAAGAGCTTCTAATTTCCTTGTATCACTTTCAGGATTAGGCTTCAATTAACTCCTTGATTACATTATTAATTTGGAGAGACCAAACTTCAACTACTCCATCTCCCGGCTTTTCCTAGGAAGAATTAATAATTAACAATTTCAAACGAAATCAAGAATCTTTTTGTCCTTTAAATACTTCAACAATTCACATCATATACGTATTTTAGTTCTTCGTTCAAACTAAGTCTCAGCTATGAATTATTTAAGATAAAATAATACGAATCATCTACTTCCATTTTTTTACACTATATACGACTATCTTGATAAAGTTAACATAATTTTTATCCTATGTTTTAATCTATCGCATATACTTTTAAAAAAAATTCAGATTCGAAATAATATACGCTTCATCATAAATAAATAAAAAGACAGTTTCTTCTTAATTAATTTGGGTCATTCAGACAAATGCCTTAATTTTGTGAAAGTTTTTCATTTTTATTCCTCAAATTTATGATCGTAAATTTTTATCCTTCAACATTAAGTAACAAATAAGATCATCTCCAACTTCAAACCAAATTTTAAAAATTTGATATTTTAAGTTGTTGAAATTACCTTTGACATTGAAATAAGAGATAACTTTTCGCTCGGCATAAATTTATATTTTTTGTATTATAATATAACATAAGCTATATTTTAAAAGAAACAACAAGTTTTGCAACTTAATTCCTAAGAAACTTATGTTGGCATGTGTTTAGTTTTTAAAACTCACAAAAATTATATTGTAAGAGTCATAATTTAATTTAACGGAAAAGGGCCTAAAATACCCTTGAACTATAAGAAATGGTATAAAATTACCCTCCATCCACCTATTAGTCCTAAAATACCCTTGCTGTCTACCTTTAGGTCCTATATTGCCCTTTATTTTTAACGGTCCCAAGTTAAACCCAATTAATAAATTCATTAATGGCGTGACGGGGATAGTGTATTAAAAGTGACAAAGTAGTTTGTTAATTAGGTAGGAGTCCTCCAAGTTTTAAATATTAGGTAGAAGTGACAAATATATAATTAATATTAATGAAATTAAAAATTCTTTTCTCAACAGCCCCAAACTTTTAACTTTTATACTTTTATCCCATATTTTTTACCTCAAAATACCTAAAATTTCACTAAAATATATGAGAAGAAAAAAGGCGGTACTTTTTTCTCACCTGCAGCGTCTTCAACAACGAGCCTGAAGGACAACTACCAAGTCTTCAACGAGGCTGAAGTATGCTTCTCAATTCCCTTCTTCTTCTTTTTCTTCATCCTCAATTAAAGTCTACCCACCCCAAGTTCATTAAACCCATCTTCCTCACAGGCTTTTTTGAATTGAATCCTGACCTTGAGTTTGAACATCTAAAAAGATATTTGATAAGAGATGTGCATAACTTGATCATTTTGTAAAGGTTACTGTTGTTAAATATGGTGATGATACAAACATTGGTTGATCATAAAGATGTTGAAACAAGTTTTGAGTTCTTTCATTTTCTTTTTATGCTAGTCTGGAGGAACTCTAATTTATGGTAGACTCTGTATATGCTGTGAAATGGGAGTTTCGACTTTAGCTTTTTCAGATAACAATATTGTTATATAGTTTTGTTGTTTACCTCTAACTATTTAATCAAGCACATTGCTCAGATCTTAGTTACTTGTTTTGGAAGTCTAAGAAAGTGGTATGTATTCTGTATTTTTGGGCAACGATTGCATAAATAAACAGAAAATCAAATTCAATCGATGACACGAAATTCTCATCACCATTGCCCACTTATATTTGATGAGAATGAAACTAAATCTTTTGGATTACTTTATTTTGGATTCATTAGATAGATTCTACTCAAAAATTTGCTCAAGAAATTTCATAATCTCCTTTATGTAAATTATCTAGGTTTTATTTATTTTTCAAAGAATGTAGGTGGGATGAAAATAAGAAAAAGAAAAGGTTGTAGCTTTTATGCTCTATGATTTGCCATTTTGCTGTGAGGAAGACGATGATAAAAGATGGGTTAAATGAATTTGGGGCGGGTCTAATTTGGGAATGGGTGGGTTTTTAAATTAATTTAGGTTATTTAAAATCTGACCAATAGAAAATTGTCACGTCGCCAATAGAAAATTGACACGTCATTAATGAATTTATTAATTGGGTTTAAATTGGGGACCGTTAAAAAATAAAGGGCAATATAGGACCTAAAGGTAGACAACAAGGGTATTTTAGGACTAATAGGTGGATGGAGGGTAATTTTATACCATTTCTAATAGTTTAAGGGTATTTTAGGCCCTTTTTCGTTTATTTAATTCATACAAACTTATACTACACACACAAGTCTTTTAAAGTTATGTCGAACGAATTAGATACTTATATACCAGAAAACTTAATTTTTAACTCATGAAAAAATAAAAGCAAAATTTTCTAAATTTATGTCAAATAAAGTTAAATCATAAATAAAAATACTCTCACAATTTTTTATTAAATGAGCCGCAAGAGCATATAAATTTGGTGCAAAAACTTGAATTAGTATCAATTGAGACAATTAGAGGATGTAGATAAACGCATGGGTTCATCATAACTTATGGAAACTTGTACTATACTGGTTGTACTTCAAAAATAGGAATCAGCAAAGAGAAAGCTACATAGATGTTACGTGGAAGAAAGTTTGTGCTTTATTCACCTACTACCTCCGTCCACTTTAATTGTCATAGCTTTTTTTTAGAGTTAAATTATAAAAATTTTGATTAACATTTTATGTTGTATATTTTCATTATATTGATATGCAAAAAATTTAAAATTTATAGCACTTTTCGTATAGTTTTTGAATATCTATTTTTTTTTTTAAATATCGAATTAATGAAATCTAATTTAACTTTAAAATTTAGTCAAATTGACTTTGAAAAGCGCAACAAATAAAAATGGAATAAATTGT